CCACCCCAACCCCCTCCTTCGCGCGCTGGTTACCAGGTGCCTCATGGACCCCGCGCACCCCTGCACCCAGAAAAGCGTGTTCTCGTATCATGTGTGCAATATACTTGAATCGAGTGCAACGTACTTGATAGTCTCAACCCCAATCGTGCTCGAGATCGAGTATTTGGGCTCAAATCAACCCACATTTTTTCTCAAATCGCTCCCCTTAGCTCCGAGGGGGCAGTAACTTCTAGCATTCACGGTGCACGAGGAAATTAATACCTTCAGTATTCAGGCGACATTCAGTGATTATTCAGTGATATTCACTATTAGAGTGTATTCACATTGCACGAAATTTCGGAGTTAGTGCCCCCTCGCTTCGCGCTTGAGTGATACGCACGTTCTTGTTTCAAGGCTAAATAGGGCTTGAATTGAGCACAAAAATGTACTTGAGACTTTCAAGCACACGCTTTTCTGGGTGTGTGGTTGTGCTGCACCGCATTCCTGTAGGTGCGGGTGAGTCGCCTACTCGCTCGGTCCGCAAGGCGCCATAGTGATGGGTGATAAGTAAACCCACTACCACTCCTGCGTGCGGTAAAGTATAACTACAGAAGTGCGCGGGGTTCGTCAGCCACCTGCTACAGGCGCGGGTTGCGGGTTGACCGAGTGCCCCGACCCGGCGGCGTGCGGCTGGATGGCTTCCTGGACTCCTTTCGGTCCTCCAGCGCCGTCCCGCGGCTGGCCGCGGCCCAGCCTCGCCGCCAGTGTGTCAATAGTTGGACCAGAGCAGCGCGTAGGCGCAGCGCGGCCGCCGCCTCCAGCTACCGGCACAGCTAGGCCAATGGAAGCCCATGGAGTCCAGGCCCGGCGGCCGTTTGCCCTGGCCTGCAGCCTGCAGCGGCTTTCGCGTGGCGCAAGACAGCTTCAGCGCCCCGCTGCTGCCCAGGTGCGCCGCCGCCTCTCTGAGTGCATGTAGTACAGCCGAGCTGCACTTTGCACTTAAATAACAAACAAACAGCTAGAAACTTGCGAAACGCGGTGCGCAGCGGGAGGGCAACGCACGCCAAAACACGATCAGGCTGCTGTGTGCAAGTGATGAGAGGCCAGGAAGCACCTGCTGCGGTGGAGGGGGGGGGGGGGCTGTAGGAGGTAGCCGAGGTAGCACGGCGCGATGTGTGGAGTATGGCAGCCGCCGTGTTGCAACCCGCGGCCAGCCGGGCGAGCCGCCGCTCGTTCTAGACAGGCGCGCCGCGCCATTGTCTGCCATACATTCATGAACGTCGAAATGCCAATCAGTCAATCATAGAGGTTTTCTTCCAGTTTATGATGAGTACCCCGCTGCTGTAGAGAGTGGTCGTAACGCAACCATAGTCTCTCCCCCCCCCCCTATCACCTGACAGCACGCCAAAAACCCAGTGTGAAATGACATTTTGAACGATATCTTTGCGAGATGTCGAAACGACAACGTAACGTCACCGAGAGATGACGACGACTGCAACCTCGTTTTGAAATGTTTTCGATGTCGTTTTCAAATCCATATTTTGGTACGAAAGGAAGAACGACCGAACGATGTACTGACGTAGCAACAAAATATCCCCAACTTGTGTATCCCCTCTTGTGCTTGGGCCAAGCCTGTTCGTGCACGGGACTTCCCCGCCACCGTCGTTTACCTGAGGGGGTGGCCTTGCAGGGAGACTTTGCAGGTCTAGTTGGTGTCCGCGCGCGCTACCGGCGCATCCTGCAGTGTGTGTTTCGATGAAGATCGCTGGTGCCCGACCCGGCTAGGGAGAAGACGGACGTCGTCGTCGTCACCGCCGGCGCGCGAGGGTGCGGAGGTCGTCGACGACGAGGACCCTCTGCTCTGCACCTGGCCGAACCCTGGACAGGACTGGACCGGGAGAGCGAGACTTGAGCCCCCGCCCCGGCACCTACCAGCCGGCCCTCTCCCGCCTCGCCCCGGGCCCGGCCCTCCCGGAGCACTCCGCCGATTATGTCATGGCTGCTGCAAGAGAACACAGTCAGCCGTGCCTATGCTCCGCCCCGCCCCGCCCCGCTCCGAGGCGGGCGGGCGGACCCCCCGGCCCCTCGGTGGCCCCCCCTGCGCCCTGCGGCCCGCGCCGGGTTTGTTGTTGTTGGCGGGAATAAGTCCTGACTGGGCATATTAATCTCCGGATTGATTCTTGTGTCGTGTGTTGCACTGTTACGCGCTCGCCACTCTTGCCCAAGAAAAAACTAATAATTAAAATAAAAAGTAAGATCGAGTTCTAGCTAACTTTTTTAGCAGGTGGGAGAAAAGTTATGTCAGCAAACCGCACTAACCCGGGAGGTGTAGCTCTCTCTGCTAAAAGCATTTTTTGTTTCGTACGGGTGCAAAACATTTAGCCCGTTAACTAATACGGGACCTGAATGTCATTTGGTCATCAGGACCCACCTTAACAATTCGAGTCCAAAGCCGGCTGCTTCATTAGCACCCGAATATTTGTGTTTGATGAAAGGTTACTGCACCGCGTGGATGAGAAGCCGTAACCGCCCACCCGGACCCGGTCTCAAGATCTGTAAGGTGCAGTCACAAGAGCCTGGGCCGGCGCCGCGCGATTCCTGAAATAATAAACAGACTTGGCCGGAACGGCCAGCGGCCGGAACAAAAGGCGAATGGGAAACGACCGCGAGCGAAGGGAGCGCGAGCCCCTCCTCAATGCCCACCCAGCGTCCTCACGCCCTCCCTGCCCCGTGACCACGGTGACTTTACGCCCCGGTTTTAGTGGCCGTTATCCTCCGGTGCCTCCGCCACAGCTGACGCGTTGGATCGGCTCCCGAGCCTCGCGGACCGAGATTATTAGGCTCCCAATTGACGGCGCCCCGGGGCGGCGGGAAGCCTCCCTGATGGGGACCTTGTCACACCCCCCCCCCCTTTTCCCTCTGCTGGTAGGCCCCACGGGAGGACCCGAGGGGTTCACCACTTCGGTAAAAAGTGTACACCCCATTATCACTATCCCCACTTTCGCGCATTATCGGGCATTATCATCCATTTTGGCACTATCATGCATTTCCATTTCATTATCGTCCATTATGAAGCATTTTTGTCCATTATCAGGCATTATTCCCATTTTCAGCATTATCAGGCATTAACATCCATTATCATCCATTATCGCCTATTTTCAGGCATTCCTATCCATTATCAGGCATCCCATTTTTAGCATTATCGGGCATTATCATCCATTATCGTCCATTTTCAGGCATTTTCATCCATTATCAGGCATTATCTCCATTATCAGACATTATCAACACATTATCAGGGGAAGTGTACACCATTATCATGAGTGATGAACCCCTCGGGAGGACCATATGCTGCCTAAGCTCTGCCTCTCCTACGCGGACGACACTGGACCGTCATTATTTTCAATAAATGTAATTGTTTCCATCCGCAGACAGCCATAGTTTTCGATTCCTTTTTATTACTTTTTGTTGAAAGGAAGATTGTTTTGATCTGCCTACGCCTACCTCCCCTAGCCAATGGAGCCGATGCCCCGCATTTCTCCCACTCCCCACTCCCACACTCCCATCCTCGTACGTTTCCATGACTCGAGGTTGATGAACGACCCTGAGCGCGCTGAGCCGACCCTGGAGAGGCCCTGGGGCCCCGAAAGCCCCCTGGAGGCCGTACCACGAAGGCCTTTTCTCATAACGAAGACGGGTCAGGCAGTTCGTCCTCGAATCCGACTTTACGTAACTCTGCCGGTCGTTCCGTTTGGACCGCTGGGGCCCGGTGGCCCGGTGGCCTGGTGGCCTGATCGTCCGGGACACAGTCACTCTCACACTACGCTGGGGGTTATACCGTTACACACGAATGCTTGACCCCTCTACTTTTATGGGCTACCCTTTACTTTTGTGATTTTTATGTCGATTACTGAGTGACATCTAATTACTTTTACCGCAAAGTAAATAGATTGTGAAACCGTGCTTTTCCTAACTGGGCGCTGACGAGATTTATTTCCAGATTGTTTTCACTATACTTGACTGGACCAGGGTGCGATTCGCCGCTCCCCTTCCCTATTTTTTCTCCACCCGGTGGCCCCTTATACCAGTACCAGACGTCAAAACGGCTTGGTCGGGGCTCGGGTGGGCGGCCTCTGCACACAAAGACAGCACAACGCCGTGTTTGTCGTAGCACGTGTGGTCTGTACAAATCTCAACGTGCGCAACACACAGGGGCAGAAGGCGACTTGTTCCGGGCCTCACTCTGTCGATAGAAATTTGGCGACGTTACGGAGAAAGGTCCTAATACCAAGTCCCAAATATCGTGATACAGAGTGCCGCAAAGACCGTAGGGGAGGGTTACACTACCGCAATTCAGACGTGCGGACGAGCTTGCCTACGCCGTCACCCAGCGTGGCACCCTCCAGCGCCGAGCGAGTAGGCAACCCGTATATACGCTGGAATTGCGGTACAGTATAACCAAAACGAAGTACGGGGCCTCTCAATCAAGTTTGTTTGTTTGTTTGTTTGTTTGTTTGTTTGTTTGTTTGTTTGTTTGGTTGGTTGGTTGGTTGGTTGGTTGGTTGGTTGGTTGGTTGGTTTGTTTGTTTGTTTGTTTGTTTGTTTGTTTGTTTGTTTGTTTGTTTGTTTGCCGTTGACGACACAACAACACGACAATTTCCGTCACTTGCACACAGGGTGCGGCGGTACGGGACGCAGGTAATTATTCTGTAAACGGGACAGTCCTTCCGCGTGGCGCTGGCTGGGCGGGGCTCTGATTTATTATTACCCAACGCACATCATTTTCCGGCGCTCGGGAGTCAGCTGACTTTGGCGCGCGGGTCGGGAGCCAGCGCGAGGCACTGCTCCGAGTGCGCCGGGAGGGAGAGGGGGCCCGGCCCGGGTGGGGCCTTCCCCGCCGCCGCCGCCGGCCCGGGACGTTGACCATACGTGTTGCAATCAACGAGTATATTTTTTTGCTCTCTTCCCTCTCTCCCTCACTATACGCGGGTGCCGAGCCGCTGCTCGACGAGTCGTAAGCGATGTGCACCTCGAACTGAATAATTAACGAAACGGTTCGCTTGCTCGGGGTGCGACGAATGGGTTGCCTGTCCCGCACGGCGCGCAGCTGCTGGGCGCCTCGCCCCCGCCGGGGACCCGTGCGTACACGAGACCTAACGTGATTTCGTGCTGCCACTTACTCGCTTAGCAACAGGTTTCTTGCGTCGTGGTCGGTCAGCCCGGCAGTTCTATGTTCGCTGCGGGGGCGGGCCGTACGTGCCGATCTTGCCCGAGGACAAGAATGGCATGGGGATGAGGGGACGCTTCTGTCCGGAGCCCGGCTCAAGGTAAAAACCAACTGACGTCATGCTGGGCGGCTAGTGGTGCCGGCGCCGGGGCGGCAGAGCCGGGGGCAGCGCCGCCACGCGCTCAAACGCGCCGCGCCGCGTCGACAAAAACATCTGTCGGTCGCGGACCCTAGCGGACCCGGGCGGGGGGCGGCAGGGGGTGGCGCGGCGCAGGCGCAGGACGGACCCGGGTGGGCGGCGGATCGATGGAGGTGAGACAGCCAGGGCCGAGCAGGCCGAGCCGCCCGCACAGCAGGCACGACCAGGCACTCGACGCAGGCAGACGATCCAGGATGGCGCCGTCCCCGCCGCCCGCGGGATCCGGGAGCATCATGAGCTGGTGAGCCCCGACTACCTGTCGTCCACGGCACCTCCCCGACCACGCCCCGAGGGACGCCGTGCGGGTCGCAGAGACGCGCCGTGGTGTACGTTACGCGGATCCCGCCCTGCAGCGCGAGGCCCGCGCTGCCGCGGCCTGGCCCGCGCGCTATCCCAACACGGCCCTGGTTCGCCCGGCGACACGGGGCCGTCCTGCTGGCCGCGCTCGCGCGACATACGGACAGTCCGGGACGCGGGGCTCGGCCGCGGGGCGTCCTCTCTTCCCGCTCCGTGCTATGACCTTGGCGCCGTGTTTGGGGGGACGCCTAGCTCGTCCAGTACTAGGGTGTCTGTGTCTGTCGCCGTCCTCGGGCGACCCGGCCCCTCCCTCGGGCTTATCATTGAAATGTCAGGGTCCGGTCCGGGTACGCACAGGGCAGGGCAGGGCTGCGCCGTGTCCCGCGGGCTGGGCAGGCCGCGTCCTGGCGGGCAGTGGCCGCCCCGCGCCGCGCGTCTCCGTTGTGACGTCAGCGAGTCGTGGAGCGCCGCCCAGCTGGCTGCGGGGCCGGGCCGGGCACCGGGCAGGGGTTGCTGGGGAGGTTCTAGTATCGTGATCACATCACGCTTGGCGCCGCCCGAGCGTCATCTAACCCCTCGGGCGCCTTAGTCGATAAGCCTCGCCGCCCGCGGGAACAGCAGCAGCAACAACAACAACATACCGGATCGCAGCCCGCGCGCCCATATTGTTGTTTGCTCGAGTCGATTTTCTCGCTATTCCTGGCCGACGTTTAATCAGGATCAAGTTAGTCGGCGGCCCGCTCCGCTGTGCCGTCCCCGCACACCTGTGTGGCCCGGGGCCGCCCGGGGGATAGACGCTCACTATAATAACTCGTTATTTTCTGCCCGCCCGCGCCCGCAGGTTGCACCGGGGCATGCCGCTCGCCCTGGCCGCGCTGGCCGCGCTCGCGGTGTCCGCGGCCCTCGCCGCCGAGCTGCCCCCGCACGCGATGCGCCGCCGGGCCGCCGTCGACCAGGCTGCCGTGGACCCGGACGAGCCCATGGACTTTGACTTCAAGCACCACGACAACACGGAGCTGCCGGACGTGCTGCGCGCCGTGCACCGCCGCTGCCCCGACATCACCCGCCTGTACACGCTGAGCGAGACCAGCGTCAGGGGCATCCCCCTCTACATGGTCGAGTTCAGCGCCAGCCCGCACAAGTGGCAGCCGCGTGAGTAGCAGTGCGCCGGAGTTCAACACTCTCCCGATCACTATGCCCCTCTCCCTCCTCCACATTCTCCATCTCTCTCTCTCTCTCACGCACACAGACACACTCCCCGACTCGCTCGCACGCCGACTGGGTTCCGATTCCTGAATGCTTTACCCACGCGTGTTCTGACGTGTGTGTGTTTCCACTGCTTCCAGACGTGCCCAACGTCAAGTACATCGCCAACATGCACGGCAACGAGGTGCTGGGGCGCGAGCTGCTGCTCAAGCTGGCGCACCACCTGTGCGAGCGCTACATCGCCGGCGACCCGGACATCCGGCGCCTGGTGAACCACACCCGCATCCACCTGCTGCCCTCCATGAACCCCGACGGCTGGCAGATGGCCACCGAGTCGGTAAGTGGCAGGTGGCTCTCCTCAGGGTGGGCGGGCGAGCGCCTGCCGAGGTGGGGGTAGGCACCCCGCCCGTCTCGGCGGCGCTCCCGGCCTGCCTATGCTCCGCTCTGCGGGCGCTCACGCTCGCGCTCACGCACTCCCTCTGCTGCTGCAGGGCGGCAAGAACTTCCTCATCGGCCGCAACAACGCGCACGACGTGGACCTGAACCGCAACTTCCCCGACCTGGACCGCATCATGTTCAGCAACGAGGACGAGCACGTGGCGCACAACAACCACCTCCTGGCGCAGGTGGACCGGCTCGAGGCGCCGGTACGTAACGTCCGTGTCGGAGAGTGTCGCATAATTGCAAGGCAGGCCAAATTCAAGCTGCGTTCTTTTTAGCTGGAGCCGGAGATAAAGGCGGTGATGAGGCTCATCATGCAAGTCCCCTTCGTCCTGTCCGCCAACCTCCACGGCGGCGACCTGGTGGCCAACTTCCCTTACGACGAGACGCGGTCCGGCGCCACCTCCGAGTACAGCCGGAGCCCCGACGACGATACCTTCAGGTGAGTGGCGCGGTGCCGCGCCCGACTGCGCCACCAGCTGTGATGTGTGAGACTCCCCGACCGAATCCCCGACTCCTCCCCTGCGCAGGCACCTGGCCCAGAGCTACGCGTCCGTGCACCCCGAGATGGCGGACCCGGAGCGCCAGCCGTGCACCGAGAACGACTACAACTTCGGCAAGCAGGGCGGCATAACCAACGGCGCCGCCTGGTACAGCGTGGAGGGCGGCATGCAGGACTTCAACTACCTGTCCTCCAACGACTTTGAGATCACTCTCGAGCTGGGCTGCGACAAGTACCCTCCCAGCGGCGACCTGGAGCGCGAGTGGCTGCGCAACCGGGACGCGCTCGTCAACTACCTGTGGCAGGCGCACATCGGCATCAAGGGCGACGTGAGGGACGCCCAGACGCTCCGGCCCATCGCCAACGCCCTGATCCGCGTCACCAACGTCACCGGCGGCGTGGAGTCGGAGATCAGCCACGACGTGACCTCAGGTCTGCTTCAGCCCGCTCTCCGCGCGGCCGCCGCTACGCCCGTCTGGGACTTGTGGTGACCTCTGTCTCTGTTTCTCTACCGCAGTTCACAACGGCGACTACTGGCGCCTGCTGACGCCCGGGGAGTACCGCGTGACGGCCTCCAGCGAGCGGTACGAGCCTCAGACCCACCACGTCGTGGTCACCTCGCGCCCCCGCCAGGAGGCGCAGCGGCTCAGCTTCCGGCTGCAGCCGCTCAGGAACGACATCGAGGACGCCACCGAGATGCCCATCCTCGCGCGACTGGGGTAGTCGCGAGGCGCCACAGGCGGTGGCTGCTACAACGCGTGGCCTCAGCGGCCCTCTCTCGGGCTGCGCGTCTAGTCCGTGGCGGCGAGTGCCCCGAGAGCACCCGAGAGGGGAAGCGCGCAAGTTCCCGGAGCTGGGTGACTCCCCACCAGTCCAGCTGTTTGTTATTGTGTTTCCCCAAATCTGAGTGAAAAGTAGAGAAAATCTAGCACCTTTCCCCCTTTTCCCTCTAATTTGACCTAGAGACAAACATATGTGCCATCTCTGACTGTCCCTCTGAGAGAAAGTGACGCAAATAACAGAAGTTGATGTCCGAAGGTATGTCGACGTGCAGGAAAAAGCAGAAAGCAGAATATGGTCTGAACTGTATGGGATGACACAAACGCTTAACTAAAGCACAAAATTCACCTCTTAATTTTTATTTTTTTTGCAGTAAATTAAAAGAAATAATTAGTTTTAGTTTTAGAAGTATCCTTTCTTGTTTTGTCAAAATTATCAGTCTTCCAAGTCATATCAATGTGTCAGAACTAACAATAAGAGGTGCTCCCCCATCTGTTAAGGACAAAAATACGATGTGTGTGTGGTGCTGTGCCCGTGGATTGGATTTCTTACATACTAGGGTCCTGACAACTCGTTGAGCATGAAAATTATTTATAAAAGGACTCTATCCTTTGAACTGTTCGTAAAAATGATGCCTCAAAAATAATTTTGTGTTTACTAAATTATTAGATGAAAATATAGCTTAAATTCCTGTAGCTGAATTTGCGTCTGTTTAACCTTGCAACATTCAAAATGATTGGGTTCATTCTAAATTTTCACCACCCTCCCGAAAAAAATAAAATCTGATAGAATAAAGTATGTTATTGTTTCTTTTGTCGTGGCTTTTCTCCTCCTTCGTTTGAAGTTCCCGCCCACGGCCTTCTATACACGACACCACACCGGAAAAACAAAAAGAAAAAGAAACAAAACAACAACAACAAAAACAAAAACAATAGCCGACACCGATCTGCACATGTTCTGGTCTTGGCTTATTTGTGTTCAATAATCGTGAGAAAATGGCAAAATTTAGACCAAGAGTTAAAGGAAAGGGGAAAAGATGGCAGAAAGGTCATAGTTCGAGCTCAAATCCAGAAACTAAGAAGTTTCGAGATGCCGCTAGATCCCGATTTTTCCAAGAGAACTTAGGTGAGCCGTATTCCTAACCTTACCATCTAACGTGGACTGAGTTATAGGAAATGTTATTGAAGTTCAAGACAAACGGAGTATCAAGATGTCAAAACAGGTTTTTTGAAGTAGAAAACTGACTACAAACAATATTCCTCATCGTCCACTGTTGTAACTTACAATAAAACGGCATCTGATAACATATAACATATTGTTGTTGGTTTTTATCATTTTTCAGTAAATGATAGCAAACTTACATCCGATGCTCTACGCAAACATGATGCGTTCATGGGAACAAAACCAGAGGAAATTGAAGTGGATGAGGAAGAGAGTGAAGTCGGAGGCTCAGTGGCAGGAAAGTCTTTTAAGACTTTCCAAACGTTTGCCAGTGACTGGAGCTCATGTTCGAATGTTTCATTTTCCAAGTAAGGACTCCTTTTCTTATATTTACTTTCTGTTTTACCTGTTGAATGTATCTAACAAATTGGATTTCCCTTTTCAGTTTCCTGAAACGTTTCACAGCTAATTCAGCATTGCACAAGGAGATGCTTGCTGTTCTTGCTGCAATCACGGAAGTTATTAAAAGCAATGGTGGTACAGAAACTTCAACAGAGTATTTTGCAGCCCTGGTACGACAAATCACTATCTATTTTCAAAAAATTATTTTATTAGTTTGTATGCCTTCTTACTAAATCTTTATCTGTAGATGACTACTCTCGGGGTTACTGAATCTGAGGATTCATTAGGTGCTGTTTTAACATTGCTGGGAATGGGCATCAAAAGTGTGCCCCAAAGTGTCCTCCGAAAAAAATTCTCTGAAGCATCCAAAACATTCATGGACCTCTTAGAGCGCTTTGCTGATTCAGAAAACCAAGTTATAATGCGATCAGTGAGTATTTTTCTTTCCTTTAGAGTTTTATTTTATTCAGTTTTACATGAACAGTCCCTCTCTCTAGGTTTTGGGGTGCCTCAGTGTACTAATGCGTAGTCAGGAAGCAGCTGTGTGGAAGAACTCCTCAACTGTTCAAGTACTTGATTCTATATTAGCCTTCACTACTCACTCCAAACCAAAGGTATGAACATTTTAAGTCCAATTTCCCTTTTATGTTTTTGTTTCCAGTTACACTGTCAGTAATTACGGTATTGTGATTCTTTACAGATCCGCAAAGCTGCACAGCATGCAGTATGTGCAATTCTGAAGTCCCTCTGTGATTCTGCTAAAGGAGAAGGTCACCCTGCAGCACCACATGTTGCAAAGTTTTGTGTCCGATCTCTTGAAAATTCTGTTGGTTCAGTAGCATCTCAAACAACTTTGCTTCACACACTCTACCTAGTCAAAGAAACAATTGCAACTTTCCCTAAGCAAAATCTAAAGGTAATTGATTGGATATGATGAGCAGATTTTTTTTTCTTTCTCAACAATGGTTTCTTAATATTGTCTAACTTATTGATTTTAAATACTTTCCAGACACTTTGTGAAACAGTTTTGAAAGTCATGACCCTGAACAATGTCTTGGTGAACTCATGTGGAATGCAAGCATTACATTCACTGTTTGCTGCACGACCATCTGCCACTATTTTGCCATCTTCTCTGAATGCACAGCTCATTTCAGCATTGTACGATTATCAGCCACCAGTCTCTGATGCTCAGCCAACCCTGGCTTGGTTGGCTGTAATGCAGGAAGCTCACATAAATTTGGCGCTGTAAGTGACAATGTTACCATTATTCTTTTGAAATTAGCAAGATCTGAGTCTGACTTCAACTTTTCTTCCATCAAATAGGCAAGATTTGCCAATGTGTTGTGGGCATTTACCTCGACTATTCACAACGGTGTCTCAGATGTGGCTATCTGACAAGGCTGATGTTCTCAGTAACACAACACATACACTTTCAGCCGTCATAAGTGACTGTCTCAAACTGGCAGCTGCTCCTGATGTCGTTGAGCGCCATACCGCCACTTTATCCAAGGTTTTTAATGTCCTTCAGGAGGGCCTGAAATACCAGTACCACAGCGCCTGGAAACATGTCATTTACCTACTGGGATCATTTTTTGAGGTATTGAATTTGCTCTTCTATCATTGTGTAACTTTTGGTGTTCTTTTTAAAATCCTCACAGCTTCTTTTTCTGGTTCTAGCACTGTGGTGCAACATGTGAAAATATCATCCTTCCCTGCCTTACAGCTTTGGGTGAATTGCAAGATTCATACCAATTTGCCTGTGTGCATGAAGTTGATCATGCATTGGGGAAGGCAGTTACAGCTATGGGACCTAAAGCTGTTCTAAAAGCTATTCCTCTGCAGGTTTGTTGTTAGCATGATTGAAGCTTACATTAATCAGAAACTTCTTATTTTCTTATATTACTACTTTTTCTGCTCTCACAGGTTACGGGAGCTGAAGTGAATAATCAAATCAAACGCAGCTGGCTCTTACCTATCTTGAGAGAATCTATTCGCAACACCGAACTTGGGTTTTTCATAGAATACTTTTTACCTTTAGCAACAATCAGCTGGTGAGAATGGTTCCTTAATTTTCTTTGATTAGGTCTCCCTGAAACAAATTTTTCATCAAATTTTCTTTGCAGGAGGAAAAGTAAAGAACTTTCTTCTCAAGGAAGAAAGGCAGAATCAGTGATTTATGAGCTTTTCCAAGCTCAAACATGGTCCTTGCTGCCTAGCTTTTGCAATCATCCCACAGACATCAAGGACTCCTTCAAAGTAAGTTTTCTTTTCCTCCTACTGTTTTTATTTAATTGATATCCCCATTTTGTTTTTATGCAACTTTGTTGTTTTTAATTTTTTCCAGAATATTGCCAAAGTTTTGGGTACTGTCATTAGTGACCGTAAAGATTTACGTCTGTCAGTGATGAGTGCTCTTCGTAAACTCATTATTTGCACTCAAGAGTCAGAACCATCACCCAAAAAGGAAGAAGATTTAAAGGAATTAGCTCGATTTGCTAAAAACTACGTGCCCATTCTCTTTAATCTTTATACAACCAAAGCAAATGGTTCTGAAGAGGAGGGTCATCGTCTAGCTGCTTATGAAACTATCAAGGTAACTAATAAACATACCATATTTATGTGATTGTAAGGCACTTGGGGACACTCCCTCTGCCCCTACTTCAGAGACAAATTTTCGGGGAGGGGTGGGGGGTTCTACATTCAGGTGAATATAAAGTTTGCCCTGTGACATGCTTGTAGTAAAACAAAAATTTACTCTCACACTTTTGTTTAGGTTTACTTGTCCATAGCAGATTCCACTCTTCAAAATGATCTATTTGAAAGAGCTTTCCAAAAGTTGAAGGGAGAAGAGGTTGATAAATTCATCAGAGAATCTGTTATGGATCTTCTCAGAGTTCTTGTTCCCTACCAAGGTCCAGATAATATTGCTATATTGTACAATCTTATCAAAGAAGGCATTGCAGAAACCAAAAACAATCGTTACCAGAAGAAATCATACAGGTGTAGTATATTTTTTAAATGTAGGTCTTACACCTTATGTATGAGGGGTAATCTAATCTAATCTGTTTTTATTTTATTCCTTTTTCTTCAGGCTGTTGGAAGTGCTTTGCTCATCTCCGTCAGATATTTGCATTGCATTCCAAAATGAACATCTTCAAGATGTGCAGAAGCTGTTACTTAAGTCACTGTCATCATCTGCCACCACCAGTCGTGGGGTGAGTTTGTTTGTTGCTGGTGGTTTGGTCTTGTTACAATCTCATTATTAAATGGCCTGTTTCATTTTACTTTGTAGGCACGACTACGCTGTCTGATACACCTAGTTCGTCGACTTCCAGCCAAGAAAGCTAACATTTTAAAGGAGATTGTTCCTGAAGCTGTTTTATGTGTAAAAGACATCAATGAACGTTGCAGGCAGTCTGCTTTTGCACTTCTTCATGAGCTTGGATTGGCCATGTTTAGATGGAAAGAAGAAAAACTAGATAATGATGATGATGAGGAAGACATGTCTGAACGAGATCACACAGTTATTAAAGATTTCTTAGCACTCATCTTAGCAGGTCTTGCTGGCTCTCCTCAAATGACAAGTGCAACACTCCTAGCGCTTGCTGATGTTACTCATCACTTTAAATGTAAATTTCATAGAGTTCCTCTAACTATCTTTCTAGTGGTTGCTTCCTTTTCAACACTGATATATCTTTAAATTTTTCAGCTCAATTCCCTGATGATCTTCTGCAGCTTTTACTAGAAAATGTTTGTTTGTTAGCCACTTCACCAACCCGTGAGGTTGCTGGATCTGCTATTAGTTACTTGAAACAATTTGTTTACTCTTTTCCTGCAACTACCGTTGGACCATATGTCCCTGCTATTGTAAGTTTAATATTTTTATGCCATCTTTTTTTATCATCTGGTTTCATTTGCTCATTGTATGTTTTTTTCTTCATTTAGATGAAAGCTTTTGTTACAATGACTGATGATTGTAAGAGACATTTTCGGAGAGAAACTCAGCATATGCTAGATAGAATGATGCGTAAATATGGCTGTGATGCTATTGAGAGACAAGTGCCTGGAGATGATGAAATCATGTTGAAGCGTGTGCGTAATCTTAGGAAACTTCATGCTAGAAAGCAGAGGGTGCGGGAGGAACGTCTTAAGAACAAATTGGCAGTTGAAGACAGTGATGATGAAGAATTTTCAGTCAAAGCTCGTGCCAAGAGGTAAAGCTTAGAGGTTTCTCTTTATTTAATGTGTCAGCTCTATTATATTTGTTTCCTATAGAACTAACTTTACCCTAACTTCAATTCGCAGCATTGAAGAAATTCTCGCTGAAAGTGATGATGAATTAGATCTTGAGAAAAAAGAATCTACCTCCAAGGGAGCAAAGAAAAAGTCACAAACTTGGATCAAAGAAGAACCAGGAGATATTATGGATCTGGCTGATACAATGGCTGCTAGTAAAATTAGTGGTGAGTGTTCATTATTACATTAGTTTAATTTGACAGTGTTTAGAGTCCTATAGAGTAGGACTCAAGTATTGCTTTGTTGCATCACCACAGGAAGCAAATTTTATATCTAATACAATTTCTCTTTATTTAGCCTCCAAACCAAGCACTAGTACTGCTAATGGAATGGCTTTTGAAAAGTCTTCAAAGAAAGATAAAAATCGTGGCTTTAAAACTGCGCCTGATGGTCGGCTTATCATTGCTGACAATGATAATGACAGCAGTGATGAGGAAGGTAAAAGGAAAATAAAGGGTAGTAAACGAATCCCTACCGTCTCTGATTCTGAATCAGGTAATTATTCTAGCTGTTGTTTCTATCTTAAATTGACTCAAGGTTCTCTTTTTATCAATTTACATTGTAACATTTTTGTATCTTTTAGATGATGATAATGATCAAGATAATGACGGTGATGCAATGAGCTCAAGGAGTGGTCCTACGGTGAAAGGACGCAAAAGAAAACTAAGTGCTAATACAGATGCTCGCAGCACAACTACTGCAGGTCCTAGTGCTAAATACCAAGGTAAGTTCACTGCAGTGGATTAAAGGGGACAGTTGTCAATTTCTCGTCTCTCTCTCTCAATAATGTTATTGTGTTCTAGCTGGTGGATCTGGTATCCATAGGCCTACAAGCACAGCTATGAGTGTAAAGAGTGGAGCAAGTGGTAAGACAGCAGCAACCGGAAAGTCTTCTGCATCCAATGCATTTGGCTCGGAATACCGCTCAAAGAAGGCAAAGGGTGATGTGAAGAAGAAGGGTGCTCCAGATCCTTATGCATATGTTCCTCTAAATAGAGCTCTATTAAACAAAAGGTATGTATGTTGTTCTACTAACATTTGTATAGTAAAGAATCTACTTTTTAATCCTGCATATCTACTTTATATTTTTTTTAACAATTGCAATTGTAAATTTTACAGGAAAAAACTAAAGCAAGCAGGGCAGTTTAAAGGCCTTGTTCGAGCGGCAAGAAAGGGTGCTGCAGCCGGACGTGTTGCTAAGACCCGTGTCTCCCGTAAATAATATGTCAAAAATTCATATTTTTCTTTCTGTGAATGCCCAAGGAAATGTCACTCGTGATCTTTTTGATTTTATGACTTAGAGGCAGCTGGCTGTCATATTAAAGAACTTTTCTTGAGATTTAAGTCATGAATATTATTGTAGCAGTGCCTTTTTCTGTTATTTATTTTCCTAGCCTAATGAACTTGGTCAATTGGTTCAGCACATCTAAAATGTGTTTGAAAATGCATTGTCTTGTTTTCTTCAGTGTGCCGTTTTCAGCATGACTTCTTTCAATTCATTGTGTTCATACTCCAGCCATCAGGTTTTATTTGATTTCTGTCTAAAAAAAAAAAGTATTTCTTCAAGAACAATTTTGA